TGTGTGGGGGGGGGGGGAGGGGGGAGGGCAGGGGAAAGGCTGTCCAAAAGTCAGTGCGGGACAGTCTCTGTGCTGAGCTATTTACAGTCTAACTAGAAAAAAGAGGTGAGAGAGGAAACTGAGGCACAGTATGGGGAAGTGACTTTCCCAAGGACACTTAGCAGGTCAGTGGCATATCTTGGTCTAACCTCCCCAATTTTCCAAGGCCCAGGCCAGTGTCCTAACCACAAGGATATGTACTCCCTCCCCCGCCCCGCGGGACAGTCTCTGTGCTGAGCTATTTACAGTCTAACTAGAAAAAAGAGGTGAGAGAGGAAACTGAGGCACAGTATGGGGAAGTGACTTTCCCAAGGACACTTAGCAGGTCAGTGGCATATCTTGGTCTAACCTCCCCAATTTTCCAAGGCCCAGGCCAGTGTCCTAACCACAAGGATATGTACTCCCTCCCCCGCCCCCCAGCAGTACTGAGCAGTGATGAAGTGGAGACATTCGAAGGGAAAAGTGCCTTGATAAAGCTTCCAGGCCCTGCAGAGAGGGGTTTCCCTCTGGGATGCTGAACTCTTGGGCTGCTCCATGAAAGGTTGAACTCCGTCACCGAGCTGAGCTATGCTAAATACTGTCTGGATCCCAAGTACCTGGAGTCTGCCTCTACAAGGGCTCCAGGCAGCACAAGTCCATGCCAGGTACCACTGGGACCAGACCAGATTGTAGCAAAACATTGATGCTGAATGATGCTGACCTGTGCTAATGGGTATGTGGGCAAGGACCAGCCAATGTACTCTGGGGCCCGTGCCACAAAGAGCGGTAGGAACAGCACAATGGCAAACTCCAGCTGTTCTTAACACAAACCAACATGTTCAGGAGCCTTGCCCTAGGGCTTAGATCACTGCTGCCCAACCAGTCCAAGCTACAGGGATTCAAGGCTGAAAATGAGAGGAGCTGGGCTGCTTGAATAAAGTTCCATTTCCTTGGTGTCTGAGGTCCTACATCTTCTCCACAATCCCATTGCTGTGCCCAGTATTGCTGTGACTGTGTTGGTCCTGGGAGGTCACACAGACAAGGAAGGTGAAGTCATATCTGCTCATGGTCCAGCTTCTCTGGGTGAGAGACAAGTTTTGAAGCTTACAAAGAGATTCTCTTGAGGTCCAGGAAAGAGTCTGTTCCCCAGAGCTGAGCTCTCTGAAAGCCCAAAAGCTTGGCTCTCTCACCAACAGGAGCTGGACCAGCAGAAGCTATCGCCTCCCTCACTGAGTCTGTCTAGGGAGACTGACACTGTCTTGCAGTTTGGGTGGGAAAACGCCCCCTACAAACAAGTCACCACTCAGAATAAAACAGTCACCACTCAGAATAAAACCACCAACTCATTTGTGTTTGTCAGGAAAAGCTCCAGGCCCATCTGACGACTCTCAGGGAAGAGAGAGAGAAGCTGCTAGGATTAAAGGTGATTTGTGAGGAAAGAAGCCAGAAGTATCTGGTAGGTGTCTGCTGTTCTTCACCAGCGAGGACATGGAGTTGGGAGGGTTGTTTATTGTTTGCTTTCTCTGTGGCCTTGGTGAATGTGTGTTTATGTGTTTCTCCAGGATCATGGGATAGTGTGTGTATGTCACAAATATTCCCTCCCTGGAAAAAAATGAAACATCCATTTTAATTAACAAATTAATTACTATTTATTATGATGTGACTTGGGAGAAGTTTTTTGTGAACAACGATTATTTCCCAGGAGACATGGACACAGCCCTTTAGGGAATATTGGGACCCAAGCTGTAAAAAAAGTCCTCCCCCTTGTGATCAAAATGTATAGTCAAATATGAGGCTGTGAAGGATCACAAATTTTGAACCCCAGGCAGGAAGCTAACACCCTCCCCAGGGCCCTGAGCCAGGTGGGAAGGTAGATCCATGCTCCTGAAAGGGGTGAAGTCCAGTGTTCCAGTGACATTTGAAAGGGCCTGGATGCTGCCACTGCCACAGTGTAGATATAGCCTTAGTGAGATCCTGACTCTGGCTCCAGGCCTGACTCTAGCTTTAGTTTCTGATTTACAGCCACTGCTCTAGGCCTGACAACTCATGTCCTGGTCCCTACACAGACGTCTTAGAAATGGTCTCTCTTTTCAGACTATATTAAAGGTCCTCAGCCTCTGTCCATGTCCTGACCAGCCCTTTCCTTATCTCTTATAGAAACAGACACAAGCCGAGAGGCAGAAGATTGTGGCAGAGTTTCAGCAGCTGCAGCAGTTCCTGGAGGAACAAGAGCGACTCCTGCTGGCCCAGCTGATGAAACTGGACGAGGAGATTGGGAGGCTCCAGACTGACGCTGTCAAAAAACTCTCCATGCAGATTTCCTGTCTCTGCGAGCGGATCGGTGAGCTGGAGGGGACGTATCAGAAGCCAGCGAGTGAATTCCTGCAGGTGAGACTGAGGGAGAAACATCCCAGCTCCCCACACAGGGAAGGGAGGCTCCTGAATCACAAGCACTGGGGTCCAGCTGTCAGACCTGGGTGTAACTCGGCATGTGCATTGCTGCCATGTGAGTGCCTGTTGTGCTTTACAGAGTTACCAGCACAGAGCTATTAGAGATGGCAAAGTCCCATTCACTCAGGAGCTAAGGAGGAGCCTTTGTTTCTCATATTTACAAGATCCCTTCTCTGGAGTCCTCTTTGTGTGTCTATTGGTGTCCACAGTGTGTTGTATGGGACTGACATTCTTTTTTCTCTCTCTCTCCCCCTCCCCTAGGATATTAAAAGCACCTTGAGCAGGTATGTGGCTCTCACTCCCCTTTATACCTGCCACTGCATGACACTGGGAAAGAACTAGGAAATTATGTTAGCATCACATCTTTAAAAACTTCTCAGTGTCACCCTCAGAAGGAGAGAATGGTAGGTGATAAAGTCTGGGTCAGATCAGATGAGACACAATCAAATGAAAAAGAGTCTAACACATCAGGAAATGGCAGACAGATAAATAGTGATAAATTTTTAAGTGCTTATGCACAAACACTAGAAATATAAAAAATAAGCTGGCTGAACTAGAGTGCCTTGTATCAAAGGAGAATATTGATATATTAGGCATCATGGGAACTTGTGAGGACAATCAATGGGACACAGTCATACCAGGGTACAAAATATATCTGAAGGACAAAACAGGTTGTGCTTGGGGTGGAGAGTGGCACTAGACATGAAAGAAAATATAGAATCAAATGAAGTAAAAGTCTTAAATGAACCAAAATGTTCCACAGAATCTCTATGGATAGTAATTCCATGCTTCAATAATAAGAATATAGCAGTAGGGATATATTATCGACAACCTGACCAGGATAGTTATAGTGACAATTAAATGCTAAAACAAAAACCTCAGTAATAGTAAGGGATTTCAACTATTCCCATATGGACTGGGTACATGTCACCTCATGCAGAGATAAAATTTCTTAATAACTTAAATGACTGCTGCTTGGAGCAGCTGTTTCTGGAACCCACAAGGGAACAGTCTATTCTTGATTTAGGCTTAAGTGGAGTGAAGGATCTGGTTCAAGAGGTAAATATAATTGGACCACTTGGAAATAGTGACTATGCTGTAACACCTCAGCAGCCAACACTGTGGCATTTAATTTCAGAGACAGAATGTGAGGAATCATTAAAAAAATGAAAGAGAATAAGAAAGAAAATATCTTATTGCCTCTGTATAAAACCATAGTACTCCCACATCTTGAATACTGCGTATAGATGTGGTCACCTCATCTAAAAAAAGATATATTGGCATTGGAAAAGGTTCAGAAAAGGACAACAAAAATGATTAGAGGTTTGGAACAGGACCCATATGAAGAGAGATTAAAAAGACTTGGACTTTTCAGCTTAGAAAAGAGAACACTAAAGGGGGAAAGTATAAAATCACGACTAATGTTGAAAAAGTGACTAAGGAAAAGTTATTTATTTGTTCCCATAATCTAAGAACTAGGGGGTCACCAAATGAAATGAACAGGCAGCAGGTTTAAAACAAACAAAAGAAGTTTTTTCTTTGAGTGATGTCCCTGTAGGTACTCCACTGTGGGTGCTGGTGCTTCCTCATGCCAGCAACCGGATATTTTTCCAGCAGTGCCCCAGTATGCTGTGCATGCACCCTGGCGCCTCCTCATGCTGTTGGTGTACTTCTCTACCACCCTCAGTGGCAGATGGAGCTACTCAATCTTGCCCCTTTTTCACAAAAAAACCCCCACAAAAATAGTTAATTCTCCTCAATTTTTCTTGTTTTTTCAAGTTTTGAGTCTCTCCCAATCTCCTACCTTAAAAAAACGAAAAAACTAAAAAAACCCTGTTTTTCTCTTTATCCTTCACCCAGACTTCTGTTTTCCTCATGCCTGGCTTTAAATGGTGTGAATCCTGCCAAGATGCTATTGCCATTTCTGATGAGCACATCCTGTGTATAAAGTGTCTGAGAGAGGCCCATCTGATGCAGATGTGTGTGCATTGCTCCAATCTTACAATGAGAGCATGCTGCAACTGTGCTAATAGGCTGAAAACATATCTTTACAAAAAGTTGCTTCAGCCACCATGGGACAACTCTCTTCCCAGGCCTAAACCATCAGACAAGCTGAAAGGTTTGGACAAAATTCATCCCTCTACCTCTTCTAGCAAGTCAAAGTCAAAAACCCGGGTTTCCCCAGTCAGATTGTTACCCCTGGTACAGTAGACTTCCGATAATCCGGAACCTTTGGGACCTAGGTAGTGCTGGATTATCATATATGACAGAGTATCAGGAGTATCCCAAACCAATCCCCCTCCAGACACTGAGTGTGTGGGTCCCGGAGCCGCCAGTACAGCCTCAAGTCTCCCTCCAGGCACTGGCTGACGCATGTGCACTGAGCGGCTGGCTTCTTAATGAGCTGGCTGGGACTCTGTGTGCAACCCAATCCCTCTCCCCTCCCTTTCCCCAGAGCCAAACACCTCCCCTCCCTGCTGTAACCTACGTGATAGCGGCTGAGCTGAGTGGTTCCAGGTTCTGCCCCGGTTCCATCAGGAGCTCTTGCCATTTTGATGCCGGACTATCAGGAATTCTGGACAATTGGATGCTGGACTATTGGAGTTTTACTGTACCCAGCTCGTTGAGGGTGAGCATCAGCCATTGGCCTGGTACCTCTGGCATGGCACCACCTAAATCATCAGCACCACAAAAAAGGGCCCACTCTGAGCCCAAACAAAAACATTCAGCACCAGCAGCACCAACTGCATCGGCCGAATCTGTGACACCTGCTAGGCACAGGTCGGCAATGAAGCCGGCACCAGAAACCACACCAGATATGGCATCAAAAAGATGCTTTCTCCCAAATCACCATCCCCAATGGCACCAGCAATACCAAACCCCACACACTCAGCCCTGGCACTGACACCTGAGCATGCACAGCACCATACAACCCCTCCCATCCAGGCCTCATCGGCACCATCATCTCGATGTTCATTGGTTTGGTCCATTCATTAATCTCCCCCAGTGAAGCTGGCACTGGGTCACACAGCCGCTTCTCATCTCAGCACTCTAGTTCAACTCACCACCCACCTTGAGAGTCTCACTCCTCCAGATACTGTCACCTGCTTCCACCACCCCCTTGGTAACTCACATCATTATCTGTGTTCACCACCACCCTATCCTGGGCAGTGGCATCTCTGGGAGTCAGCGTCTTCTTGTAAGAGCCACCACACGGCTCCACCAACAACATAAAAAAGACCATCTTAGTCTCCCCAACCTACACCGTCAGCTACAGCACCAAACTCTTTAGAGCCTATTCAATCTGACTTGGATGACTCTCTATTCGAAGGGGAAGACAGGTCCCCCCTGTGCAACTCCTACTCTTTGCCAGACAAGGCTATCATTTCTATCACCCCGCCTCCATCCAACGACTCTAAACAGTTCCAAAAACTTTTTAAAAGAGTAGCTCTGGTGCAAGAATGGGACCTGCAGGAGGTCAACAAGAAACAGTATCCCCTCTTGCACACCTTACAGCTTCCCGTATCCTCCAGGATCGCCCTCCCAATGGATGAAGCCATTATGGACCCTGCCAACATCATCTGGCAAACCCCAGCATTCTTTACTCTCACCAATAAGAGGGTGGACCACAAATATTTTAAAGCTAAAGGCATGGACTTCCTCTGTACACACCCTCCCCCTAATTCCCTAGTAGTGGACTCGGTCAGATACAGGGCAAAACAGCTCAACATGAGCTCCACTCCACAGCACAAGGACCATAAATGGATGGATAGCATGGGCTCTGGCAAACCCCAGCATTCTTTACTCTCACCAATAAGAGGGTGGACCACAAATATTTTAAAGCTAAAGGCATGGACTTCCTCTGTACACACCCTCCCCCTAATTCCCTAGTAGTGGACTCGGTCAGATACAGGGCAAAACAGCTCAACATGAGCTCCACTCCACAGCACAAGGACCATAAATGGATGGATAGCATGGGCTGTAAGGTCTTGTGTGACAGGGCGGCGGGGATAGCGCGCCCCAACTCCGCACTAGGGCGCCGCGGGGGACCGGCGCCGAGACGCCTGAGTGGCTCTGCTGACCAAGAGCGCCAGGTTTAAAAGCCAGGCAGCTAGGACACAGGGGGGGAGAGGAGGCTCTGGCAGGAGGCCCAGCGGACACCCGCCGAGGACTGAGGGGCGGTGGCAGGACCA